ACCCAGCTAAAAGTTTTTCATGTCATGGATAGACCTAGAGATTGTCATATTGAGTGAAGTCAGAGAAAGACAAATATCATATGATATCACTTATATGTGGAATCTAAAAAAATGGTACAAATGAACTTATTTACAAAACAGAAATAGAGTCACAGATGTAGAAAACAAACTTACGGTTACCAGGGGAAAAGGGGGGAGGGATAAACTGGGAGATTGGGATTGACATATACACACGACTATATATAAAATAGATAACTAATAAGCACCTACTGTGTAGCACAGGGAACTCTACTCAATACTCTGTAATGGCCTATATGGGAAAAGAATCTAAAAAATAGTGTATATATGCATGTATATAGCTGATTCACTTTGCTGTACACCTGAAACTAACACAACATTGTAAATCAACTATACTCCAATAAAACTTTGTTGTTTTTTTTGTTTTTTGTTTTTTTTTTGTGGTACGCGGGCCTCTCACTGTTGTGGCCTCTCCCGTTGCGGAGCACAGGCTACGGACGCGCAGGCTCAGTGGCCATGGCTCACGGGCCCAGCCACTCCGCGGCATGTGGGATCTTCCCGGACCGGGGCACGAACCCGTGTCCCCTGCATCGGAAGGCGGACTCTCAACCAATGTGCCACCAGGGAAGCCCTCCAATAAAACTTTGCAAAAAATAAAAAGTTTTTCATGGTAACATTCAACAGTTGCTATGACATTCCTCTTGTACTTGTAAAGTACCTCCTCGTTTAATAATACAAACTATTTTCCTACCTTGCAAGTATAGTATAAACACATCCACTGCATTAGCCAGCACTTTAGCCTACTTTCCCAATGATCTGTTTGTCATTCCTTATCTACTGTTGTAGTAATAAGAATATTCTGCTTATTTTCTCAAATAGAAAGGTATTTTCTCAAAATTTGAACACCAAACTACACTTCTCCCTTTAAGAGACCTTTGAAATGTCTTGATATTTGTGTCCAAATATCAAGTCAAAGGGATTTCTCTAATACCTTGGGATTCTTGCAAAGTTAACCCTTTCTCCTCAGAGCTGAAGGAGGGAAGACAGTTGTCAGATGAACAAAAACCACAGCCTACATCACTGCCTTAGATCGTGGGGGCTATTCCTGTTAGTATCGCAAAGATGAAGGCCAGCACACACCCCTAGGGCGTGGCACAGATATGTGCTCCAAAATTATCTGTGGATGAATGGGTCATAATGAGTTCAATAACAGCAACAATAATAATGGCTAACACAAAATGCTTACTGAGTTAAGCGTACATATTAATTCATGTGATCCTCTTAAATAACTATATGAGGTTATCATATAAGGTAATGATTCAGGAACTCACTATCATAAACAGCTCTTTGCTGGGTTCAACAGTATCTAGCCCTGACAAAGCACCAATCTTAAAGTGGGGAATAAAAAAGGAACACGGCTTCAAACACATCAACAGTATGGTAGCTTATCCAGACACATTGTTAAATCTGGACGGTTTTATTTTTTTGACAAATGAAAAAAAAAACAAGGCTATGCACTACTCAGGTCCATAAAGCAAAATTTTACAATTCCCATAGTACTCAGCCTTTTACTGAAAACATTCTAGATACAAAGGTTGAAATGAAATACCCACCGTCCAGATAACAATCTTTTCTTCTCTGCAATGAAAGCCAGTAAGCCAGTTGTCTCAGAAATTCCGCACCCAAATGTAGCACTCACAGAGCACCAGTGAGTCATACATGTAACAAATTGCTCATTTTCCTGCTCCCCACCTTTCCTCTAAATCATTACGCTGCTATCCCAGAATCACAGGTTTGGTTTTTTGTTTTTAATCCCCCATCACAAAGCTTACCAATTCCAACTTTGTTCCAATTTCGTAACTCGACAAGAATCTGCCTGTCCCTTTAGTTTAAGTAAACCTCCAATTTTCTTCCCAGGTTTGAAATTCTCCAATGAAAGCAAGGCCCACATCTTTGGACTCCTCTTTTAATTGAGAAAAAAAAAAAAAAAAAAAAGGCCCTTGCCATTCTGACTGTGCTGCCAGATATCTGCCAGTGTCAGACCACCAACACCCCACCCCCACTGAAAGTCAAGGTCCAAGGGGAAAACCAAATTCACTGTTTGAACCCTGTATTCAGAATCACAAAATGTAATGGATTGTCCTCCTGAGTTGCCCTTCTGTTTTATCCTCTTTGGTCCTCCAACTCACACACTCCAATTTCCATTCAAAATAAAAAAGGTGAGGGAAAAATGGAGGCAAAGACCATAAACACAGAGACCCTAAAACAGTGGTAGCGTCTAGAAACCTTATTAACCTGAATCCCACTACACTTGCTAAGTAAATTAAATGTGACGCTCCCAGAGCAGCAATCAAAAGCAAGGGCTGAAGCAAGAACTCCTATTACCAACCACTTTTCAGGAATTCCCCACAGCTCAAAGCAAGGCAAAGACCATGGTTAGTGCTGGGAGGATAATAGAATGAAGGGAGAAAAGTGACTTGAAATAACCATGTCACAACCATTATGATGACAACTATAAAAAACAAAAACAAAAACAGAAAATCGGACTTCCCTAGTGGTCCACTGGTTAAGACTCCATGCTTTCAACTCAGGGCTCCTGGGTTTGATCCCTGGTCGGGGAACTAAGATCCCACATGCTGTGTGGCTAAAATAATTAATTAATTAATTATACATAAAGTAAAATTTAATAAAACAGAAAATCACAAGTGCCAGTGAGGATGTTGAGAAATTGGAACCCTTGTGCACTGCTGGTGGGAATACAAAATGGCGCACTCACTGAGGATAACGGTATGGTGATTCCTCAAAAATTAAACACAGACTTACCATAGGATCCAGCAATTCCACTTGTGGATACATACCCAAAAGAAGTGAAAGCTGGGACTCTAACAGTTGTTTGTATACCCATGTTCATAGCGGCATTATTCACAACAGCCAAAAGATGGAAGCAACCCAAGTGTCCAAAGATGAATGAATGGGTAAACAAAATGTGGTACATATATAACAATGGAATAACATTCAGTTTTAAAAAGGAATGAAATTCTGGTACGTGATACAACATGATAAACCTTGAAGATATTATGCTAAGTGAAATAAGCCAGATACAAAAAGACAAATACTGTATGATTCCTCTTATATGAGGTTGCTAGATATTCAAACTCATAAGAGACAGAAAGTAGAATGGTGTTTGCCATGGGCTGAGGAGAGGGGGAGAATGGGGAGTTAGTGTTTATTCAGTACAGAGTTTCACTGGGGTAAGATGAAAAAGTTCTGGAAATAGATGGTGGTGATATTTGTACAACAATGTGAATGTACTTAATGCCACAAAACTGTGCACTTTAAAATGGCTAAAATGGTAAATTTTATGTTATATTTACTTTACCACAATTTTTTTAAAGAAACAAAAATGGTCACTGCATTAGGGATTTCCCTTCATCTCTCAGACTGGAGGACTTGGGCACCTCTAAGGGAAAAACAGAATTTGGCAAAGATAGGTTATCTGCTCCCACACCCCACAGGAGGTTATGGAAGGGGCACGGCAGCCCTGTGGCGCTGCACCTGCTAAGGAAGCAGGAGGGAAGATGGTAAGGTGAGGAGAAAGTTACATATACTGGGGTCAGATCCACTCACCTTCCATCTGGCTCCCATTCTGTCATTCTTGTGGTCTCCCATATTCACAGTACACAGGAGCCAGCACTTAAGATTTACTCTTCAAAGGGTAGGTAGGTGGATAAGTAGGTGGATAGATGGATGGATACGTGAATGGACATTTCAACTACTTGGCTAGAATTTGAGAACTGCCTATGACCGCTCTGGCATATTTTTAAGAACTCAAAACACCTCCCAATGTTGGGGTAGGGAGGGTAAACCACTGGTTAAATTTTGGGCTGCTTTTCTCACTACTGATTTAGAATGACAGTTTGTCCCTTCCCTCTTGGGTCCTCCAATTATACAGTTCATTGCATACAAGTGAAGGAAGGGAAGAGGTGGGTGTTGGGAAGAGAGTGGATTCAGCAATCTTTTCTGAAAACCCCAGCCCCTTTCTTTCCAGTGGAGGGCAAGGGGTTGAATCCAGCTTTGAGCACCAATTCTCCCCAGCAACGCAGGGAGCAAGTGTGTGCTGGCGACTTACTCTTCCCAACATGCGAGAAGTCTGGCCTTGTGCTTCTGAAAAGAACATTCTGTGTAACCATGAAGGAATGTCTAACGATTAATACCACCTGGGGACGTGTTTAAAATGAAGATTCAGATTTAGCAGGTCCCGGGCAGGGTCTGCCATTTTGCAGGTCTTACAAGCTCCCAGGTGGTGCTGAGGCTGCAGGCCGACCCACCGCACATTGAATAATAAGGCCTTACACTCCTGCGATCAGCTGGAACCATGACAGCAAGGACCAAAATCAGGCAGAAACAGCAACAGTCAGGCTCTCCCTCTAATGAGCATCACCCTCCTCCCACTGCCATTCTCCACCCAGGCCACAGCCACTTGGTTCCACCATGAATCTGGACCCTTTGTCACTTTGGCATAATTAGCCAAGCCGTCTGCAGTCACTCACTTCCAGCTTTTCTCATCATACTGAAGACAACTGATGTTCCTGGAGGTCAAAGACATTTTTGCTCCCCACTCCCCAAGAAAAGTTTCCCCATGGTCCTCAAACAGAAACTCAAGGATGGCTTCTGCATTCATTGCTTACCTGCTCCTCTTGGCTAAAATGCATGATTCAATAATACAAGTGAAGCCAAACTATTTTCAACACTCTAGGGAGACATTTTAGCTTTGGCCACATCACAAACTGGAAATTTTGGGGGAAGGACCATAATAAAAGGAGGCGAGCGTACACTAGATCATGCCTCCTCTACTTTTTGCAAAACTGAAAAACTGAGAGCTTGCAGGATGCTACCATTAAAAAAAAAAAAAAATCCAGGCCCACCCACAGTATATGCTGTTGATATTAAAGAACTGCCTGGAAGGACTTTTTTGACTTTACCAAAACATCAGAGGAACTGACGGAGAACCTCGAAAATCCTCTGGTTCTCCATATGCATGGATGATGCTTCTCTCCAAACCTGGAGAGAGAAGAAAAAATAAAATCTCGTATTCCTATTCTAATCAGTACCTATTTTAAGAGCTGCAAATACACCTGCATCTATGTTATCAAATGTAGAATTTACCAATAGCTAATCTGTGTAAACACAAGTCAGGAGACTGGCATTTTTTTTTTTACGGTCTTTTTTTTTTTTTAAATAAATTTATTTATTTACTTATTTATTTTTGGCTGTGTTGGGTCTTCATTGCTGCATGCGGGCTTTCTCTAGCTGCGGCGAGCAGGGGCTACTCTTCGATGCGGTGCACAGGCTTCACATTGCAGTGGCTTCTCTTGTTGCAGAGCACGGGCTCTAGGCGTGCGGGCTTCAGTAGCTGTAGCACGCAGGCTCAGTAGTTGTGGCTCATGGGCTCTAGAGCGCAGGCTCATTAGTTGTGGCACACGGGCTTAGTTGCTCCGTGGCACGTGGGATCTTCCCAGACCAGGGGTCGAACCCGTGTCCCCTGCATTGGCAGGCGGATTCTTACCCACTGCACTACCAGGAAGCCCTCCACAGTCTTCTAACTGAGGTCACACACCTGGTTTTAGGACTTAATTAAGTTCAGGTTCTTGATGTCTCATCGCAGAAAGAATTCAGTGAGAGACAAAGTGATAGGTTAGAAGCGGATTTATTTAGAGAGAAACAAACTCCAGAGTGTGGGCCATCTCAGAAGGCAAAAGCACAACGGTGGCATTTTTTTAGTCAACATAATAACACTATCTACTAACTAAGCCTAGGCATTAGGAGAAGTACAATAAAGAGGGAAGGGCTCTGAATGGTACGCTAAAGGATACTCGTCAGAAAAAGTCAAACCACTTACTCCACATGTTTGCAGTTATTTCCAACTAATTCTTTTTTTTTTTTCTTTTTCAATTCTTTTATTTTTCGTTGCATTGGGTCTTCGCTGCTGCCCGCAGGCTTTCTCTAGTTGCGGTGAGTGGGGCTACTCTTGGTTGCGGTGTGCCAGCTTCTCATTGCAGTGGCTTCTCTTGTTGTGGAGCACGGGCTCTAGGCATGCGAGCTTCAGTAGTTGCGGCACGTGGACTCAGTAGTTGTGGCTCATGCGCTTAGTTGCTCTGTGGCATGTGGGATCTCCCTGGATCAGGGATCGAACCCGTGTCCCCTGCATTGGCAGGTGGATTCTTAACCACCGTGCTACCAGGGAAGTCCCTCAACTAATTCTTTTTTTAAAAAAAGATTTCAAAGCCCCCTGCATACCCCGAGCAGGGTCTTCCTTAACATTCAAATCCAGATAATTTATATTCTGGTGGTTCTTTAATTTACTCATATACCTATTTCCCCTAAAAAATGGAGCATCCTTTTCAGATGTCAGTACAAAACCCATTTCCTCTGGGAAGATTACCTTCTGCTGTGAAGTGTCCTGGCGTATCATAAAATCTGGAACTAGAAGAGATCCTAGAAATAATCCAGCTCCAAGACTGTCAAACTGGGGTACAGGTGCTTATGCTGTGGGGAGCCCCCAGAGCCCCAGGGAAAATAAGGTGCATCTTCCCTGAGCGCTTTTTGACTCAAGGCAGCAATTTAAAGCATTTTTATACTAAAATACGTAAGATGAATCCTGCATTCCATTCTACATCAAAGGAATCGCTGAGGGCTTCCTTGGTGGCAGAGCGGTTAAGAATCTGCCTGCCAGCCGCATAGCACAGGGAGATCAGCTCAGTGCTTTGTGACGACCTAGAGGGGTGGGATAGGGAGGGTGGGAGGGAGACGCAAGAGGGAGGAGATATGGGGATATATGTATATGTATAGCTGATTCACTTTGTTATAAAACAGAAACTAACACACCACCGTAAAGCAATTAAAAAAAAAAAAGAATCGGCCTGCCAATGCAGGGGACACGGGTTCAAGCCCTGGTCCAGGAAGATCTCACATGCCGTGGAGCAACTAAGCCCATGCACAACAACTACTGAGCCTGTGCTCTACAGCCTGCGAGCCACAACTACTGAGCCTTGTGCCACAACTACTGAGCCTGTGTGCCACAACTACTGAAGCCCACGCGCCTAGAGCCCGTGCTCCGCAACAAGAGAAGCCACGGCAATGAGAAGCCCGTGCACTGCAACAAAGAGTAGCCCCCGCTCGCCGCAACTAGAGAAAGCCCGCCAGCAGCAACAAAGACCCAACACAGCCAAAATAAATAAATAAATTAATTAAATTAACTAATTAATTTCAAAAATAAAAGGAATTGCTGAAGTAACACTGAAAAGTCATGGAAATCTCAGGCTGAGCTCCCCCATCCCCCTTTCCAGGGTTCCTTTGCCCTGAAGGTTATGAGGGCAAGTTTCAGAAGCATGAAGAGAATCCATTTCCTAGCTTGAGACATGGAAACCAAAAGACTTTCTCAAGGCTGTGAGTGGCCATCTGAAAGGTCAGTGCCCCTAGATAGTCTTCAGAGAGACTTACAGTGCTTCTCACCACCACCCAGGTGAGTCTGGGAGCAGTCTTTCCTAGAATGCCAGACTAGAAGCACAAACAAGGATTTTAAGAGCTCGCTTCCCACCCAGTTCCACCCTCTTCTACCTCAGGTGCAGTATTAACAAACACATAATTAAATAGGCTTCTCAATGAATAATGAAGCCACACAGCCCTTCATAAACACATGTTAAACCCTTTCTTTAATCAGCTACACATCAGTTGGTATTATATGTAGCTCAGAGGCATCTAGATTGACACATGTGCTATTATTTACTGTCTCTTTGCTGAAGCTTTGAATTTTTCAACAGTGCAGGTGGCCTCCATTTGGATACACCTAATAAGAAGGCAAGTCAAAATAGGGAACATTTATTCAAAAAGAAGAAAAAAGAGTGGGGGAGGAACCAGAAGACCCATTCACAGTGTATCTCTATACAACAGACACTCACCCAAGATAAAATCTAAGAACACACATGAGCCTTGGGCTTGGTGGAGATAGTTCTCTCCCTAACATCTGAATCACCTTAAAAGAACCATCCCTGGGCTTCCCTGGTGGTGCAGTGGTTGGGAGTCCGCCTGCCGATGCAGGGGACATGGGTTCGTGCCCCGGTCTGGGAAGATCCCACATGCCGCGGAGCGGCTGGGCCCGTGAGCCTCCGCAACGGGAGAGGCCACAACAGTGAGAGGCCCGCGTATCGCAAAAAAAAGAAAAAAAAGAAAAAGAACCATCCCTTTGTCCTCCCTCAAAAATCATGATGCATACCAAATACAGATGAGTTAAACAGATCAGGGTTCATTTTCAAAACCAAGGGTCATGTAATCGTATATTTGAACAGGCTGGCCACTGTAATATTATCCTCAAGTTTATTAAGCTGCAAGACAGGTGAAAGGCTTGATTTAATATCTGCAACCCTCAGTGAGTTTAAATGAACTCTTCATCCTCCAATGCCTTTCTCATTGGAGCCCTATAGGAGAAATAAAGAACTGCCCTTCAGGAAAAGCGGCCACCAACCTGCTTGCCTTCCTCGGCTGTCTTCCAGGCTGTACGGTGCCAAAGAATAATCAAGTGTACGAAAACACCAACAGCTGATGGGGCAGAGAAAGCCCAAGGTCTGCTGCCCATCTTGGGAGCAGGCAGTCAAGATGGGAAGCCCAGAGGGTTAATTCCAGACTCATCTAACAATTACAGAGACCTACTATGTGCAAAGTCAGGGGTAGGGGCTCAGAAGAAAGTCCACATCAGATGGCAAACAGTAAAATGTCGCTAGTTTGGAAACTGAAAGTTTAGGAACTCCTCGGAATGTGAACAATGCTATTTTATTTTCAAAGTCCTTTTACAGGATCTGATTCAACCCTCACAATAAATCTATAAGAAGGAAAATAACCGCTATTATATCTGCTATCTTATCCCTGTTAGGGCTCAAAAATGTTCCCAAGTCACAAATCTAGACATGTTGGAATGAGACCTGAAAATCCTCCCAGGTCATTCAAACTTTTACAGACACTTTCATTCAAAACACTCTTTAATCCTTACAACAGTCCAGTGAGGTTTGTTTGGGTTTTGTTTGTTTTAGGGGGGCCATCCCAGAGAGGGGGAAGCCAAGTCAAAGAGGTTAAAAAAGGACCCAAGGTCACCCAGCCAGCAAAGAGAGAGAAGAGCTGGAATCTGAATTCAGGTTCCCCACTCCAAGGCCAATGTCCTTTTTTAACACACCAGAGAGGAGTGTGGGCAACACAGCGAGAGTGGAGACACCCTCCACGGAGAGCTGGGGATGGGAAACCAAACCCCACAGGTCCCTGGGGCATCAAACAGGAAACGGCTTGCGCTCAGGCCAAGCTGAAACCCAACCCTTGCCAAACCTGCTGCACACAGACATGGGCTTTCTACGCAGCTCAGCATCATCCCTGAGCCCGGCTCAGCGCTCCAGGTGGATCAGCCCATGACTGTCTGGGCACCTCTGTGATAAAGCTGGGGCCAGAGGTCGAAGCGCAGACAAGACTGATCTTTCCAAACCAAGAGGAGGGTGCCATCTGTCACTCCAGGTCGAACTCTGAACCTGCCAGCCAACCTGTCATCCTCCACTGGAACTTGGGACACCCTTCCCAATGCAGCCTGCCCAGAGCCCACACCGCTCAGTCGGCCACCTCCCTCTCTGCTGCTCTTGTAGTTGGAAACCGGAAAGGACCCTGTTCCTAGTTTCCCTGGGGTTTGTCTCCCCCCCACCCCATAACCAAAAGATGCTCCACGGAAAGGGTACCCAGCTGGCCTACACACTCGCAGACACTGACAACGTCCACACATTTGTTTGAAGCAAACAAAGTTCTAGGGAAGCTTATGGGAAAGAATATTTTTTAATCAGAGGCCTAGACATACTTAGGACGCGCTCAAAGTGGAGGCTGATTTCAGTTTCTGAACAAGTGCAGCGAAGGGTTCTACAGCACGTAGACTGAACGGGTAGGGGCCATCCAGCGCCAGCCCCAAGAGCAGCGGGGCCGGGCTTTTGACCTGTACTTCCCTAAACACAACTTTACAAAAGAAGCAGCAATACATTTCATTAAGTTTCTTGTTACCTGCAGGAGGCTGACCTTGGAGATTCGAAAAGAACTGAAAAACTCAGGTCAAAAAAGTGACAAAGTGAACTTGTTAACTCTCAGGACGGAAAGGAGGGGTCCTAAAAGCCATTTGTCTCGACCGAAACACTCTCAGAATATGTAGTTTACATTCGTTTTGCGGGTGAGTGGCAATCGGGGTTCAGCTCTCGCTCAGCTCGGGACTCTTTGAAGGTCGCCTCACTGTCACTTCGGAGTGCCGGAGCCCGGAATCCAGGCCACGCGGCGTGACCGATACGATGCACTACTGGCACCCTCCTGTGCCCCCCAGGGCTTCCCGCAGGTGCGGCCGATGCCAGAGGGGGGCCGCCCCCTCAGGGTCCCTGCCTCTCGCCGCTACCACACCACGCATCCACACTCCCGGGACACCCGTGTCCTTCCCCACCCACCCCCGGGCCCGATGCGCCTGAGGCACGGGTCAGCGGTCCACGGGCTTACCCTCGAGAGGCGCACGAAGCGCGGCCCCGTAGCAGGCGTGATACCGGGGGCCTCCGGCGCGGGGCTGCCCGGGCGCTCGGCTCTCCTGGCCGCCTCCTCTTCGTTGTCCTCGGCCGAGTCCCGGCCGCCCGGCGGCTCCGGTTCCCTCCGCAGCAGCCGGCCGGGCGGCACCGGGGCGCACGCGACGGGCTCGGCTGGGGCGCCTCCTCCTCCTTCCTCTGCCCGCCCGCCGACTCTAAGCTCCCGGGCTCGGGGTCCGAGGTTCCGGACGCGGGGTTCGTCGGGGCGCTCGGGCACCCCAGCGCTCCCTCCCGCGCCGCCCTCCCGCGCGCGGCCGCTCTCTGAGGGCGTCTCGCTCGTGGCGCGCGGCCGTCAGGGGCTCTGGGTGCGCGGGGGCGGCGGCCGGGTGGGCCCCAGGGCGGCGGGCGGGGGCGCTGCTGTGGACCGGGGCACTGATGCGGGCGCCGCGCCGCGGCCTCTCGCCATGGCTCTCGGCGGGCGGGCGCTTCGCACCTCCCCTCCGCGCTGCCGTCACCGCCCGACGCTCGCCGAGCCCTCCCCTTCCCCCGGCCCCGCCTGCCGGCCCGCGCCGCCACCTCCAGGACGCCCGCCGGGCGGAGCGCGTCCCAGCGGCCCAGAGCCAAGCCCCTCCTACCTCGCTGGCAGGTGACCGCTCCTGCGACTTTGGGCCTGGGGAAGTCCCCGGCGAAATACCCCGGGTCGGGAAAAGATATCACACACCACCACCACCACTACCACCACCCCCTCCGCGAGCGCTTATTTACTTCTAGCACTTCTCCGTGCCCGTCCAGCCAGTCTAAGGGCAGGGTGGAACTCACGCGGAGGCTGTTTGCCGAGAATACAGTAGAAGTCCAGACGTTTCTTTACTGCAGGCCGGGCCGTCCCTTAGGAAAGCAATCCTTAGTCTTAAATAAGGGTGGGACAGAGCTGGGAGGTGGGGGGAATATGGATGAACAAAATGCCACCAAAGGGTAAGGGAGGAGGACAGGTGCGTGGCGGATCAGGAAACGTTCCAGGAAGTAAGTTCCCACAGGCTACTCTATTATGTAAATGACCGGTGGACGGTGTAACGGGGAACAACACGCATGACCTCATTTCCACTTGAGGCTGCTGAGTCTACAGCGTTGGGCTAGTCCCTGGCCAGAGGTCATAGAGGACATTGGGAGGACATGGAGAAGACTCAGACCAGAACCGAAGACCCAAGGAAACTAAACCATAGAAAACCTGGTTTCCAGTACTGGAAGAGTCAGTGTATAGTAGAGACTGGGTCAGGCAAGAGTCATCAATGGATACTCACCCTAGGGGAGACTTTACTGGGGAGCAGATATTTGCCTGGATTAATGTGTTTTCCCATAGGTGGTTTAGGCTTATTAGTAGCAAGAGAGAAATATTCAATATATAAAGGCACAGGGAGACAGCACCTTGACCAGGATCAAAACTGACATCACTGGGCTTCCCTGGTGGCGCAGTGGTTGAGAGTCCGCCTGCCGATGCAGGGGACACGGGTTCGTGCCCCGGTCCGGGAAGATCCCACATGCCGCGGAGCGGCTGGGCCCATGAGCCATGGCCGCTGAGCCTGTGCGTCCGGAGCCTGGGCTCCCCAACGGGAGAGGCCACAACAGTGAGAAGCCTGCATACTGCAAAAAAACAAAAAACAAAAAAAACTGACATCATTAATGAAAGCAGATGGATATCTTGTCCTCAGAACACATCACCTATGCAGTATTTCCAGGAAGAATGCATAACCTGAATCTAATGATAATGAAACCCCAGACAAACCAAAATGAAGAATATCTATTAAAAGGGGGCAGGAGTTGTATTCCTCAAACATGTCAATGTCACAAAAGAAGGCTTGGGAAATGTTCCAGATTAAAGAGTGCTATAAAGTCGTGACAGCTAAATGTGATACCTGGTCCTAGACTGGATTTTTTGGGGAGAGGGGACGCTGTAAAGGACATTCCAGTGGACAAAATTGGAATCCTGAGAGTAGATTAAAGTATTGGATCAATGTTAAATTTGCTAATGTTGATAATTTGTACTATGTTCATGTGTAAGAATAGCCCTATCCTTGAAAATACACACTGCAGTGTTGTGTAGGGGTAAGGGGGCATTGTGTATGCAACTTACCCTCAAATGATTAAGGAAAAAAATGTTGATAGAAAAATGATAAAGAAAATGGGCAGAATACTAACAATCAGTGAATTTGGGTACAGGGCGTATTGGAATGTTTCCGTAAGTTTGAAATTCTTTCCAAATAAAAGGTTTTGAGCAGTGGCGCAGTGGATAAGACTCCGTGCTCCCAATGCAGGGGGCCTGGGTTCGATCCCTGGTTGGGGAGATAGATCCCACATGCATGCTGCAACTAAGAATTCACATGCCACAACTAACGAGCCCTGGAGCCGCAACTAAGGAGGCTGCCTGCCGCAGCTAAGACCCGGTGCAACTAAATAAATAAGTAAATAAATATTTTAAAAAAAAGATTTTGAAAAACCATCAAGTGGGAGAAGAGATGAGGTGGGAGGAAGGCAAGAAGTGGTCATAAAAAGACAACACAGGGGATCCTTGTGGTTTTAGAGCTTGTGGCTTTAGAACAGGTGATAAAATTTATATAGAACTTACACAGACACACATAAGTACAAGTAAAACTGGGGAAATGGAGTAAGGCCGATTGTATGAATGTCAGTATCTAGTTGTGATACCATATTAAGGTTTTGCAAAATGTTATCGCTGAGGAAATTGGGCAAAGTGTTTTATTTCTAATGACTGAATGTGAATCTACAATGATCCCATTAAAAATTTCAATTGGGGGCTTCCCTGGTGGCACAGTGGTTGAGAGTCTGCCTGCTACTGCAGGGGACACGGGTTCGAGCCCTGGTCTGGGAGGATCCCACATGCCGTGGAGCAACTAGGCCCGTGAGCCACAACTACTGAGCCTACGCGTCTGGAGCCTGTGCTCCGCAAAGGGAGAGGCCGTGATAGTGAGAGGCCCGCGCACCGCGATGAAGAGTGGCCCCGGCTTGCCACAACTAGAGAAAGCCCTCGCACAGAAATGAAGACCCAACACAGCAAAAATAAATAAATTAATTAATAAACTCCTACCCCCAACATCTTCTTAAAAAATAAAAGAAAATTTCAGTTACAGGGAGTTCCCTGGTGGCCTAATGGTTAGGATTCCAGGCTTTCACTGCTGTGGCCAGGGTTCAAGTGAGATCCCTGCAAGCCACATGGCAAGGCCAAAAAAAAGAAAAAGAAATTCAATTACAAAAAGAGATCAAGCATATTCCAGGTGTACATAGATGAGCATGGCTGCCCGGGAATTCAAAGAGCAAATGTGCTGGAGCTGACTCCTAGTGGGTTTAGAGCAGACATGGAGCTGTTACCAACAGCGAGGGTTTTTAAGGAAAAAAAAAAAGACTCTGTGAAGTATAACTGACAGATCAGGTTCCTACCAGTTCTGTAATTTAAGAATCCTAGAGCTGGGGGATCTTTGAGATCATCTAGTCCAACCTTCTCATTTTCAGGAAACTGCGGGCAGAAAAGTGGTACATGACCAGAGGAGCATCAAATTAGTGGTAGACCCATAACTACAACTCTTGTCTGCTGAACATGTGCAATGGTCTTTGCACCTTTACCAGCTGCCTGTCACTCTCTATATCCATGAGATTTAGTCAAGTTTGGTACAGAATTTTGAAGTCATTCATTCACCCGTTTGGAGTGTGACAGTGGCCTGTGGGAGCAGGGTCTTGACATTTGGTTTCCAGCACCAGATGGCAGACATGTGGATCCCGCTCAGGAGGAGGAGGGGCCAATCTCCCTCTAGTACTCCCAGCTTGGAGGAAACAGGTGGCAAGCGGAACGCCTGGAGTGAGTGAGCCCCTCCCCCCAGCTATGGGCCCTGAGCTACTTGGAGATGCTGATAACCTGCTGCTGCTGCAAGTCAAGGGTGCAGGGCCCTGGGAGGGAGGCAGGATGGGCACACAGAAGAGAAAACAGTCATTGTCCTGGTAGGTCCCAGCCTCATCCAGTGTTAGCAGAGGTCTCTGCACCAGAAGTGACTCTGGGCTTCCCTGGTGTCGCAGTGGTTAAGAATCCGCCTGCCGGGCTTCCCTGGTGTCGCAGTGGTTGAGAGTCTGCTTGCCGATGCAGGGGACACGGGTTCGAACCCTGGTCTGGGAGGATCCCACATGCCTGGGAGCAACTAAGCCCGTGTGCCACAACTACTAAGCCTGCGCTCTAGAGCCCGTGAGCCACAACTATTGAGCCCAGGAGCCACAACTACTGAAGCCCGCGCGCCTACAGCCTGTGCTCTGCAGCAAGAGAAGCCACCGCAATGAGAAGCTGGGGCACCACAACGAAGAGTAGCCCCCGTTTACCGCAACTAGCGAAAGCCCATGCGCAGCAACGAAGACCCAATGCAGCCAATAAATAAATAAAATTTTTTTAAAAAAGTCACTCTGGCCTCCCTTGAGCCACAGAAAGCCATGCTATTCTTTCCTTTTGTCAAATCAAATCAAAATCAACACGTTTGTTGATATTTGCCAGGCTCTGAATTAGTAACTGGGGGAAAATACAAACAAAACAAACAGCAAAAAAAAAACCCGTATCTGATCCCTGACCTTTAGGAACACAAAATACAGCAAAGGACCCAAGATGGAAATGTAGAAAATGATCTGACAAAAGAATTAAAATGCTATTAGCTCTGTAGGCTCGGGTTCTCCTCAAAAGCAGTGTTGGAGAAGGGCTTGAGGGCAGTGATCACTTTTGGTAAGTGATCCCATGGAACAGGGATGGGAAAAGGAACGAGGACCACACAAAACAGAGAGGGAGAGAAAGCCCATCCAAGGGTGCTTAATCTAGGTGGTCACCTCTGTGATCAACTGAGCTCAGTCCCACTGGGGGGCGCTCTGAGGAACTGCATAGAATGCAAGACAAAAGGAGGATACATCTATCCACCAGCTCCTACCTCTCATTGGTCAATTGCATGCTGAGCAAAAAAGTAAACCGAGCAAGTATGACACAGGACATACATGCATAAAATGACGGCTGACTCACCAGCAAAAAAGCAGCCTGAGGGCAGGGATTTTTGTCTGCTTTATTCATTGTTGCTTTCCCAGCGCCTGATTCATAATGGATGCCCAGTCAATACATACGGAATGGTTGAAATACTAACTCAGGTTGATAATAGAAGACGTTGTAAAAAAAAGCAGGAGCATAAGTCATTTTTTAACAATTTGTGTCTGTATGTGTCTATTTGTGCCAGGTGTTGGATAGGCTAGGGTGACAGTATAGTGAAAATAGGTATAGTCCTGGCCTCATTGGACCTTTCAGTCTAGGAGAGGTGTCAGGTAACATGATACATACACACATATTGAGTTAGCTTGTGACAAGTGCTATGAAGAAAAGGATGCAGGCACTAGAAGTAGGTAGTAGGCAGATGTATGATAGATTACTTGGTCTGGGAGGACCTGTCTAAGGAGGTGACGCTTAAGTTGAGACCCAGAGGAATAGGAGCCAACCATGCAAAGGGGAGGGGGCAGCATGAGACAGAGACCCAGAGGCAACAGAGACTCTCGATAGCTGGAGCTCTGGGGAAGAGCCAGACCATGGGCCTGTGATGGTTTTGGTAAGAGAAGAGTTTTAGGTAAGGGAACTTGAACCTGCCACCATTCCAGAATGAGAGCAAAGGTCCAACTACCTTATATCCACATTCACGTTATCATTGAATGTCTTATCTTGGGGTTTTAACCTAACATCTATTGAGCACATATATGTACCAAGCACAGTACTAAATGCTTTCATAATAACAGCTCATTGAATCCTCATGGTAACTCTATGGGGTAGCTGTTATCATCTGCAGTTTATAAAGAAACTGAACCTCAGAGAAGTTAATTAACTTACCTAAAGTCACATACAATTGACAAGGTCAGAATCCACTCCAGGTTTCTAGCCTCTTATGACTAATTAAACACATTGCTTTTGTTCCCTGCATATAAAGGAGAATCAACCTCTGTCTCGGAAGATGGGAAGAATGGAGAGGTGAGGATTGGGGCGGGAAAGGAATCCTATAATTAAGACATTAATATCGATGCATTGCTCACAGATTCCTTAGAAGGAAAAAAAAATGAATTAGTACCAATAGCTTCTTTATTGCATCTGGTGTTTATCTTGAGACTTTAAACACCAGCTATGCATGGATAGCTTCCAAATTTATACTTCTAGCCCCAACTTTCCCTCCTGAACTCCAGACTCCAGAAGTTTATAAACAAACTTCCTACCTGACGCTGCCCTTTGGATGTCTAATAGGCATTTCAGCCTTCTATGCCCTAACCTGAACTGCTGGTCTTTCCCCAATTT